GCGGGAGAGCCGCGGTGGGCCGACCCGGGGCTCAGAAATCCAGGCGGGTGGAGACGGGTCGTCGCGCCCGGAGTGGGGTCGCTGGCGGAGGCCTCAGGGTCCGAGCTGACCTCCCTACCCGGCCCCCCCAGATCTCCCACACCTTCACCGACTACGGGCCCGGCGTCCGCTTCGTCCGCTTCGAGCACGGGGGGCAGGACTCCGTCTACTGGAAGGGCTGGTTCGGGGCCCGGGTGACCAACAGCAGCGTGTGGGTGGAGCCCTGAGTGACCCCTCCTGCGGCCTCCCCCAGCTGCCCTACCTGGGCAAAGGCCCGGGGTAGACAGCCTTAGTCAGTAGCATCCTCACCTTCCCCACCCCCATGCACTCCTCTCCCGCCCCTCACTCCAAGCCCAGCCCCCACACCGGGAGAGAGGGTTTGGTTGGCATATATTTGCGTCTAGAACAGGAGATGGGTGAGGGCGTGGGCCTGGTCCGGGCCCACCGCTGAATCCCCCGCACCTAGCACAGTGCCTGCCACAAAGTGGGCGCTCAATAAATATTATTTGTCCAAGGAAGGATGAATGAACAAACGGATGAATGAACACCCTTCCCTACCCATCCTTCTCTGTCTCCTGAGGGCCCCTGGCCCAGCCTGGAAAAATACTTGGTGGGGCTCCAGCTGCTCGGGTTTCCAGGCGCCCTTGGGCCAGTGCAGAGCTGGCCAGGCCTGGGCTGGCCGGACAAAGGCTGGGATTGTGAGGCCAAGGAGCCGGGAGCTGGGCCTGGCGCCTGACTGACACCCAAGCTGCCCAGAGGCCAGAAGAGGGTGTGTGAGGGGGGCTGGTCTCCAGGCCTCTCTTGATCCCGCTCTCCATTCCTTTCTGAAGGCGGGATGGTGGGTGGGGCAGCATGCGGTCTGGGTGCAGATTCTCCTGGGCCCGGGGATGGATGCCAGGGGCCCAGTGGGGGATGGGGGGTGGGGGATGGGGGAGCACAGAAGGGGTCAGCTTGTGTCCCTCTTCAGTCCATGCCCGCTTCGTGCTGTCCTCCCTGATCTGGTATTGGATTGCACAGGAGTCATTAGCACCCGGTCTCATGGGTCATTTTCCAAGCCCTGCCCAGAGGCACTGGTTGGAGGGGAGGGGAGGTAGGACGGGTGTGGGGCCAAGCTCTGTGCCAGGCTCTCTCTTTCTGTGCCAGGCTCTGTGCCAGGCCTCCCCAGCAGCTCTGAAACCCAGCCCCTCCCCAGGACTCTCGGCTGCTGGTCCTGGGGGTGGTCCAGCGTCTTGAATCTGCTCTCCTCTCCAAAGTGGTGACCAATAAAATCCCCACGCCCCTTCGACTCTCCTTTGATTCTGAGCCCTGGTGCCACCTGCTGGGGCCTGCCTGCACTTGCTCACTGGTTCATTCATTCCCTCATTCATTCATTTACAATTCCTGAAGCCCCAAGGCCAGGCCAGGCTCTGTGCAGGGCCCTGAAGTTGCAGGGGTGAGTAAGACACTTCTTGTCCTGGGAAGAGTCACCAGCCTGGACACATCGAGGATGGGGCACCCTGGGAAGGGGTCTGTCCAGTGCCCTGGGGGCTCCGGTCTAATGGTGGAGGCATAGTCCCTGCTGTGGGGGCCATCCTCAGTCTGACAGGGGAGAGAAGTCCCTGAGAACTCCCAGCCTGAAGGTGGAGGCACAGCCCCTGCCCTGTGGGCCCCCTCAGTCCTTTCTAGGGGATGTCGCAGTCCGGGGGGCAGGCATCGTCCACACCCACCCAAGTTGCCGATCTGATGGGAAGAGATGCCTGGCCCTCAGGGCCCAGTTTGATGAGGAGCCATGAAGGAGGAGGGTGACCCCTGTGAGCTCCCAGGTTTTAGTAAAGGAGTAACAGGCAAGGCAATGCTTTGGGGCAGGGGACTAGGACCGGCGTGCGGGCAGCCAGATGGGGATGAGTCGGGAGAGGACCAGAGCCCACGCTGGGGCTGCAGGAGGAGGCTGGACGAGAGATGCAGTGGGCGTGAGAGCCCGGAGTCCGGGTCCGGGTGCCTGTGAGGACTAGATGTCAGGGCAGGAATATGGGTCATGAAAGGTGCTGCAGTGGGGGGAGCTCTCCCCATGGGGCATTCAGGAAGGAGGCCTGTGAGTGGCCTGGGGCCCTGGGTTGGAAATATAGGAGCCGCAGTGTCTGTGGCCAGCAGCAGAAGCAGAGGGCACTGGTGAGGGCGGGGAACAAGTGTGGAGAGAGGTAGGGGAGGCCCAGGGAAGCCTCGGCCTCTGGGGCCATGACGGGGGAGCCAGAGCAGCCAGGGGGCAGGGGGTGCGGTGAGTGGGAGGGTGCAGGCCCAGCAAGGCCACCCCCAGCCAACTACCTGCTCTCAGAGGAAGGAGCCAGAAGCCCAGAGGCCGGATTCTTTGTCCTGAGGCTGCTGTGGTCTCTCTGCAGGGCACGGGGCTCACCGAGGAGACCTGAGGGGCTCGGATAATGGGTGGTCCAGACCCCCTGTCCCTGAGTGTTTCTCACTGGAGGGACAATTAGATACACCGGTGGTATTTAGCACGGGAAGGTGAGACAGCTGCTCCCGGGTCACCAAAGGGCTGCTGCTGTGGTGGGAGGGGGGCCTGCAGGGCTCACTGCACAGGGCACGTCCTGTCACGCCACCCCCGGAACCCAGGGGAAGATGGGGAAGGGGGAGAGGGCACTGTTCTTTCCTTCTGCACAGGAGACTGAGGACAAGAGACTTTCCTGGCATGTGACACACAGTAACTGGAGAAGCACCAATTCCGATCCAGGCGCATCTGGCTCCAGAGCACGCTCTCAACCCCTCAGCTTTGTTGTCCCCTACTCTAGAGGGCAGATCCACCCGGCTGGAACCTTGACAGCCATAGGACGGTAGACACCAGCTTCCTTCAGGGAGAAACCTGCACACTGTCCAGCAGGGGGCGCCTCAGGGCCCTCTCCGACAGTGGGGATGTGGAAGCCAGAGACAGCAGACAGGCTGGGCACTTCTCTCAGTGGCACGGGGACATCAGCTAAGGGGAGAGAGGCCTGCATGTCCCCTAAGGTCCTTTCTAATCAATCGATACTGAGCACCGACTGTCTGCCAGGCAGGGATAGAAAAGACAAGGCCTCCACCTTCCTGGAATATGCAGTCTAGGGGAGAAACGTGAACACGAGCAGCTACATAAGTGAATAAGATAATTACCAACAGGATAGAGGACTTATACACACCAGGCACTACGCTAAGGGCTTTATATATATTGACTCATCGTCATAACCTTATGAAGTGGGAACTATTATTACTTCCATTTTTACAGATGAGAAAACTGAAGCACAGAGAGGTTAAGCGACTTGCCTGAGGCCACACTGCCAAAAGTAGTGGAACTGGAATTCTACTCAGCCACTTAGGCACTTGACCTCTGTAGTACAGCAAGCAAAGCAGAGAGGGAGGGTGGGAGTGCTGCCTTGGTCAAGGTGAGCAGGGAGGACCTCTCTGAGGAAGTGACATTTGAATGATGAGGAGAAACCAACCATGCAGATATCTGGGCAAAGAGCATTGCAGGAGCAGTAAGTGCAAAGGCCCTGAGGTGGGAATGAATTCATTTACAGATCAGAAAGGGAGCTAACATGGCTGGAGCTCAGTGAGCAAGTGAGGACGTGGTTTGACGTGAGGTTGGAGGTGTAGGCAGGCAATCCTGAGAGCTTCCTGAGCACCTACTGTGTGCTCTGTCTCATAAGGTATAAATGTTATAGGAAGCAGATATGGTATCAGTGTCCTTTAAGGAAAAACTGTGCTCTGTCTGGCAGGAGCTGGGGATGGGGAGTAAGTCATCGGCAGCTTACAGTCTTGTTGATGAAACCAAATTTCCCAAGAGTAACAGGATGAGTGATGACGCTGACAGCGATGATGGTGACAGTGTAAGGCATTTGCTTAGGACTTACAGGTGCCAGTCCCTGTGCTGAGCACGAAGGCTCGTTTAATCCACTCCACAGCCCTCTCTGGTAGATCCAGATGTCCCCATTTTATGGATGAAAGAGCTAAGACTTGGAGATTTAGGGTAACTCGCCCAGGGTCACATGAGGAGTAAGTCACTGAGGCTGGGTTTCCAGCTCAAGTCCTAGCCACGTCACTGTGGTACAGGACCAAAGATGGGCAAAAGCCAGGGGACAGAGCAGGGGCAGAAGCTGGGGGCTCCGAGGTGAGAAAGAGTGGGAAGAGTTGAAGATGACGAGGACTGTGGGGCTCAAGGACTTCTATGCGTGTCATTGTCCCAGGCAGGAGGAGGGGGTGCTAAGTGTTTCTGGGCCATTTTGGTTAATGGGTCAGGGGATGTAAGATGCATTTTCATTTATTTTTCTTGGTGGAGCCCTCCATTTAACCGTTTTGCAATGGAAAATAGTGTCTTTTCCTCTTTCTGGTTTATTGTGAATCTGGGTTTACGTAGGCGTGGTCTGTTCAGTTGTAGACCGAGAGGAGGGAGGGAAGGAGCAGTTCCTACAAGCACCACTAGGTGTCAGCCTTGTCAAGGGAGTCCCCAGGCTGGGCCGGTCCTGCCCAGTTCTCTGCAGAGGAAGGGGCCTCAGAAGTTGGGATTTGAATCCAAACCCTGATTTCTTTGCATTGACTGGGGCTTTGTCTGGGTCTGCAGGCTGGGCGCCCTGCCCTGCTTTGGGCTGCTCTTATGCCAGATACTCCTGAGAAACGTTTAGGAGGCTGGGTCCTCTGAGGCCTGAGTCCTAAGATGAGGAAGGGCTGGTGGTGTCCAGGGATCCAGCCCCAAACAGGTCTGGGGACCTAGACCCTCCAGTCTGTCCCCACCTCGGCAGCACCCTAGGCCTTCCTCGTGGTCTCTCGCCTGCAGTGAACACAGAACACCCAGGCAGATCCAATCCTGCTCTCCTGGTGAGTAATGACTTGGCTATTTTTCTCCGTAAATTAAAGCTAATCTTGTGTTGACTCTGCTGAACAAGGAGAATAATGAAGAAGATTAAGATGAGATGGTATTCATTCTTCTCCAACAAAAGCCAATTAATCGTCAGCAGGATTATTGCCCTGAGCCAGGAAATGTCACCAGCTCTGCAGACAGGGTGGGCAGGGTGGGGGGCATCTCCTAGTGCTTCAGCTGGGGACTGTTGGGGATGCAGCAGGGAAGATTTCAGTTAGATGTCAAAAAGAACTGCCTATATTAGGGAGGGGGCTGGAACCACAAAGGGAGATGTGAAGAGTGTGGATTCACCCACGCAGGTCGTGTTTGTAAGACACGGAGGACGACTCCATGGGGATTCCTGAACCCCCGCACATACTGGGCATATGCTCTCTGAGGCCCTGGACCACTTGCCCCTCTCCATCCAGGCCACCTGGCACCCTCCCTGCCTTTCCTCCCTCAGGGGATCTCTCTGTGACCTGTGCCAGCTCATGGGCTCCATTCTGGGGTTGCCTTTGAGAAATGAACCTGCATCCAGGGGTCTCCAGCCTCCTCTGCACCCTGCTTTCCCTCCTCCCTTCCTCTCCCAGGAATCAGGGAGGCTGCTTATCTACCTGGATTTGGAGACAGAAACACCTGGGTTTCCCCTGACTTTGCCCCTCATCCTCATCTGTAAAATGGGACCT